CTGACGATGAATACAGACAAACTTCATCTTACCTGGATTTGGAGCCAATCTCGTCCAGTGAAGAGGAGTATATGGAACAACCTTGCTCCTTGGACTCCAAAGCTATGGAGCATTTGATTATGGCTGTTAGAAGAACATTGGATTTGCTGAAAGAAACCAGAGAATGTTCAGCTTCTGACAGACACTTTGGAGATTTACATAAGAAAAGACCTTCCTTTCCAGTCCACAGCTCTATTAAAGACCTGATGAGGAATGAGTGGCAAATTCCTAGTAAGAGGATTACTAGTCAGGGTCTGCTTTCGAAGTTATATCCGATTAAAGAGGAGGATTCCAGATTGTGGACTACGGTCCCCAAAGTTGATGCTCCTATCATCAAGGTTGCTAAAAGATCCACGCTACCAATTGATAGCAATGCTTCCCTTAAGGAGCCCATGGATAAAAGGATTGATGCTGATTTATCTAAAGCTTTCATGACAGCGGGTTTAGGTTGCCATCCAGCTGTGTCCATTTCGGCTTTGTCTAGAGCCATGCGTTCCTGGTTGCTTGACTTGGAGGATGACATAGATAAAGGGGTCAGTAGACGTCAGATGGCGGAATCCTTAAGGGATATCAAACTCGCCATTGACTGGCTTTTGGAATCCTCCACTGACCACATTAGAATTCTTTCTAAGGTTATGGCACATTCAGTCACCGCTAGAAGGGCGCTTTGGCTGAGATCCTGGGGAGCAGACCTGTCATCCAAGAATAATTTATGCTCACTTCCCTTTATGGGAGAAGTGCTTTTTGGGAAAGCTCTGGATGAAGCGATTAAAAAGGCGGCCGAGGTTAAACAGGTCATGCTGCCACAAGATAGGCATCCAAAGAGACCTCGTCTGGACCGTAGACCTTTTAGGGATCAAGGCTACTTTAGGGAAAGTAAGACTTACAGGCCAGGTAGAGAATTTTCAAGGAATTCCAATTGGAAGAGCGGCCTGAATGGGAAATCCTCTAGGGGCAAGACGCAGACCTCTTCCTTTCGCCCCAACAAGCAATTCTGAAGGTGGCTTACTCCAGGTTCCTCGAGTGGTAGCACGTCTTTCATTCTTTCAGAGGGCCTGAGAAATAATTCCAGATGCTTGGGTAAGATCCATTATCACCGGAGGTTATCATCTGGAATTCGACGAATATCCACCTCCACCAAGGTTTATTCGCACAAGGCTTCCAGCCAACATCCAAAAAAGAGTGGTTTTGACTCTTTATGTCAACAATCTTCTTACGGAAGAAGCCATCATACCTGTACCCATAAAAGAAAGATTCCAGGGATATTATTCCCCCCTGTTCTTGGTCAAGAAGCCAGAGGGCAAATGGAGGCCTATTTTAGATCTCCACCAGCTCAACCTTTATCTGAGAGTCAGAAAATTCTGGATGGAATCCATTCGCTCCATCATTCCGGTTGTTCATCACCAAGATTGGATGATATCAGTAGACCTCAGGGATGCATATTTTCATGTCCCTATCACGTTCACCCATCAAAGGTTTCTCAGGTTTTGTGTCCGGAAGGAACACTTTCAATTTCAGGCCCTTCCTTTTGGTATAAGTACGGCCCCGAGGACCTTCTCGAAGGTTCTCGAAGGTTCTCGACATTCTGGGCGCTGGGCGGCAGTGGCTGCAGCGCTGGGCGGGCGGGCGGCCGGCGAGGGAGCTCTTCCCCTGAGCGCTCTGCTCAGCTCCCTCGCGTGCCGCCAGCAGAGTGAGGCTGGGAGCCGGAATATGACGTCATCAACCCGGCTCCCAGCCTCCCTCGCCAGCCGCCCGCCCGCCCAGCACTGCAGCCACTGCCGCCCAGCGCCCAGAATGTCTGTTAGCCGCGGGGCTAACAAGACATTTGCCTTGGGCATTTGGGGGGCGGCGTTTTTTGCCGCCCCCTGAAAAATGCCGCCCAAGGCAAATGCCTTGTTAGCCTCGCGGCTAATACGCCCCTGAGTGTGGATGTCTGTTAGTGTGTGTGTTTGCCTGTTAGTGTGTGTGTGTGTTTGCCTGTGAGTGTGTGTCTCTGTTAGTGAGTGTGTGTTTCTGTTAGCTAGTGAATGCGTATCTGTCAGTGAATGTGTGTGTGTGTATTTAGAAGGCGGAGCAGGGGGGAAGGATGGGTGGCGGTTGCGCGGGTGGGGGTGGCGCGGGGGGGTGCCTGAGTTTTGTCCTGCCTAGGGCAGCACAAAACCAGGATACACCACTGACGATGAATACAGACAAACTTCATCTTACCTGGATTTGGAGCCAATCTCGTCCAGTGAAGAGGAGTATATGGAACAACCTTGCTCCTTGGACTCCAAAGCTATGGAGCATTTGATTATGGCTGTTAGAAGAACATTGGATTTGCCGGAAGAAACCAGAGAATGTTCAGCTTCTGACAGACACTTTGGAGATTTACATAAGAAAAGACCTTCCTTTCCAGTCCACAGCTCTATTAAAGACCTGATGAGGAACGAGTGGCAAATTCCTAGTAAGAGGATTACTAGTCAGGGTCGGCTTTCGAAGTTATATCCGATTAAAGAGGAGGATTCCAGATTGTGGACTACGGTCCCCAAAGTTGATGCTCCTATCATTAAGGTTGCTAAAAGATCCACGCTACCAATTGATAGCAATGCTTCCCTTAAGGAGCCCATGGATAAAAGGATTGATGCTGATTTATCTAAAGCTTTCATGACAGCGGGTTTAGGTTGCCATCCAGCTGTGTCCATTTCGGCTTTGTCTAGAGCCATGCGTTCCTGGTTGCTTGACTTGGAGGATGACATAGATAAAGGAGTCAGTAGACGTCAGATGGCGGAATCCTTAAGGGATATCAAACTCGCCAGTGACTGGCTTTTGGAATCCTCCACTGACCTCATTAGAATTCTTTCTAAGGTTATGGCACATTCAGTCACCGCTAGAAGGGCGCTTTGGCTGAGATCCTGGGGAGCAGACCTGTCATCCAAGAATAATTTATGCTCACTTCCCTTTATGGGAGAAGTGCTTTTTGGGAAACCTCTGGATGAAGCGATTAAAAAGGCGGCCGAGGTTAAACAGGTCATGCTGCCACAAGATAGGCGTCCAAAGAGACCTCGTCTGGACCGTAGACCTTTTAGGGATCAAGGCTACTTTAGGGAAAGTAAGACTTACAGGCCAGGTAGAGAATTCTCAAGGAATTCCAATTGGAAGAGCGGCCTGAATGGGAAATCCTCTAGGGGCAAGACGCAGACCCTTTTCCTTTCGCCCCAACAAGCAATTCTGAAGGTGGCTTACTCCAGGTTCCTCAAGTGGGAGCACGTCTTTCATTCTTTCAGAGGGCCTGGGAAATAATTCCAGATGCTTGGGTAAGATCCATTATCACCGGAGGTTATCATCTGGAATTCGACGAATATCCACCTCCACCAAGGTTTATTCGCACAAGGCTTCCAGCCAACATCCAAAAAAGAGAGGTTTTGACTCTTTATGTCAACAATCTTCTTACGGAAGAAGCCATCATACCTGTACCCATAAAAGAAAGATTCCAGGGATATTATTCCCCCCTGTTCTTGGTCAAGAAGCCAGAGGGAAAATGGAGGCCTATTTTAGATCTCCACCAGCTCAACCTTTATCTGAGAGTCAGAAAATTTCGGATGGAATCCATTCGCTCCATCATTCCGGTTGTTCATCACCAAGATTGGATGATATCAGTAGACCTCAGGGATGCATATTTTCATGTCCCTATCACGTTCACCCATCAAAGGTTTCTCAGGTTTTGTGTCCGGAAGGAACACTTTCAATTTCAGGCCCTTCCTTTTGGTATAAGTACGGCCCCGAGGACCTTCTCGAAGGTTCTGGTAACCATCATTGCTTTGCTCAGAAAAGAAGGTGTAGCGGTGTTTCACTACCTGGACGACATCCTGGTAGTGGCTCCGGACCTAGCATCAATATTCCAACACAGGCAATTAGTCCTGGACACTCTATCTCATTTCGGTTGGCTCATCAATTACGAGAAGAGTCACTTGCATCCTTCAAGAGAACTGATATTCCTGGGAGCAAATTTCAATACAGACACAGCGATTGTATCCCTCTCACACGACAGAAAGATCAGACTTCGAGATCGGATAAGGGACTTCAGACTAAAGACTTCAGCCTCGGCAAGAGAGTTTATGAGACTTCTGGGGACTCTTTCTTCTACGATAGAACTTGTCAGATGGGCTCAGTGGAACCTTCGCCCTCTTCAACAATTTTTCCTAAAAAATTTCAGGACCGACTCGAGGGAGTGGGAGACGCTGATTCGCATTCCTTTGATTCTGAAGCAGAAGCTCCTTTGGTGGATGTCGTGGGAAAATCTCTCCAGAGGGTTCCCCTTGCGGGAAATAGATTGGGTGGTCATTACGACAGATGCCAGTCTGACAGGTTGGGGGGCACATTTAGGCAATCAATTTTTTCAAGCAAATTGGCCTCCAAGAACTCAATGCTTGCCTTCCAACATCAGGGAGCTAAGAGCAACCTTTCTGGCGCTTCTTCATTTTCAGCATCTCATCAGGCATTGCTGGGTCAAGTTGAGAGTGGACAACAAAGCAGCTGCTGCCTACATAAACCATCAAGGCGGAACAAGGAGTGTAGCCCTGATGAGAGAGATAGTTCCCATTATGACCTGGGCTCAGAATCATGTGGAAGGTCTGTGTGCCATCTATCTCCCAGGGAAGGAGAATGTAATAGCGGATTTCCTCACCAGACATCAGATAGAGGCTTCAGAATGGCAACTTTCCAGGAGGATCTTCGCTCGGTTGGTCCAGAAGTGGGGTCTTCCCCAAGTAGACCTCATGGCGACCTTTCGGAATGCGCAGGTTCCATGCTTTGTGTCGAGGAGATACCATCCAAAGGCGGTTGCTCAGGATGCTCTATCCATCAATTGGGTGTTCGATCTGGCTTACGTTTTTCCTCCAATTCCCCTCATCCACGCTGTTCTGAGAAAGATCTCCAAGGAACATTGCAAGGTGATAGCTGTACTTCCATTCTGGCCTCGTCGCCCTTGGTTTCCCCTGTTACAGAGGTTATCAGTGGACCTGCCTTGGGAACTTCCAGTCCCAGAAGACCTGCTGATTCAGGGTCCAGTGTTTCATCCGGAGCCTCACAAATTCAGGCTCCATGCATGGCTATTGAGAGGAAGTCTCTAGTTGAACATGGCCTTTCGGACCAGGTTATCTCTACCCTGTTACGTTCCAGGAATCCTTCTACTTCTTCTACATACCATAAGGTATGGGAAACCTTTGCTCGATGGTGTAATTCCACGGTTCAAGAATTAGGTTCCCCTTCCGTGTCTCAGGTTTTGGGTTTCCTGCAAGCAGGCCTGGAGAGGGGCCTTCAACTTAACACGCTTAAAGTGCACTGCTCTGCTCTTTCAGCTCTTTCCGGTGTTCGTTGGGCATTGAATCCTATTGTAATTTGCTTTTTCAAAGCAGTCATTAGGATCAGACCTCCTATCAAGGTTTTCTCTGCTCCTTGGAATTTGCCTCTGGTTCTGCAGGCCTTGACGGAACATCCCTTCGAACCTATTGATGAGGTCTCTATGCAGGTTCTTTCTCTCAAGACCCTGTTGTTACTGGCCTTGGTATCTGCTAGGAGAATGTCAGATATTAGAGCACTGTCGTCTGAAGAACCGTTCACTACCTTCTTCGATGATAGAGTTGTGCTACGGCCTAGACCTGAGTTCCTTCCTAAGGTGGTTACATCCTTTCATCTGAATCAAGAGATTGTCCTGCCAGGGTATTTTCAGGAGCCATCGTCTCCTGAGGAAGAAAGATGTCATACGCTAGACCTAAGGAGGTGTCTTTCCACATATATTTCACGCTCAGCTGATTGGAGGAAGTCTACCCAATTGTTTGTGATACCTTGGGGTTCTGGTAAAGGTGAAGCTGCCTCTGTCGCAACCCTTCGTTCTTGGACGGTTCAGGCTATTTCTAAAGCTTACAGAGCTAAACAGGTTCCAGTTCCCAAGGACATCAAGGCACATTCCACAAGGTCCATTGCTACTTCATGGGTGTCACGACAGTGACCAAAGTCACAACAGTGACCCCTTCACACAGCGTGAAACCCACAGAAAGACGGTTACCGGACCTTAGAATGGCCGGACTAGCGTCTGAGAATAGTCAAGAGAAATAGCCAGAGGTCAAGGGAATACGGAAGACGGGCACACGATTATCCAAGCCAAGATATGGGAAACCAGAACACAGAATAGTCAGAGAAATAGCCAAGGGTCAAATACCAGGAAGAACAATCAGAAAAGATAGCACCAGGGGACTTAAACAAGAACCACACTAGGGCATCTGACAAGTGTCATGATAGCCCTTTTATAGTGTGGGTTCTTTAGCTTTAATTTTGTAGCCACGCCCCCAAAAAGTCCGGGAGCGTGGCCACGTTTGAATTTTGGCGCCATTTTTAGTCTGACGTCGGCGCGCATGCGCTGCGTCATAAATGTGGGCGTGATCCGAGCGGCCGGCGTCAGAAAGGCTGAGCCGCCCCCCGGAAGGATCGGAGGAGGACCCGGCGCTGCGCGGGACCGGCGGGGAAAGGTAAGCGCTTGTTAC